TATATATATATATATATATATATATATATATATATATATGTATGTATGTATATATATATATATATATAATATGCCATCAACCCTACCCCACCGGCTCAGGCGGATGGGGACTGTAGTCCAGAGGGGATGGGATTTGTAGTCCCAACCCCTCCGCACCGCGTCCACAGCTCCTCACCTTGCCGTTGTTGACATATCGCTGTAGGTAGTAGGTGCCGAGTCCCGGGAGGATGAGTCCCACGTACATAATAGCCGCCGAGGGAATAATTTCGTACCACATCCCGACGAATCCCCGACTCTATGGAACTTTTGCAGCAAGACTCACCGCGCATGCGCCACGGCTTCCCCCATGGGCCATTCTGACCTTCCCGTCCTCGGTCCCCCAGGATGCACCGCGCGGCCGGCCACTTCAGCTTGCCGTTGCTCTGGCAACGGCGGAAAGGGGAGTGTCTTTTTTTTTAAAAAAAAGAGAAAGACGAAGCGGTTGTTTTTAATTATTATTATTATTATTATTATTTCCTTTATTCTTTGGGCCGAGGTGTCCGTGCAAGCTGGAGAGTTATTTACATAGAGGTAATGCCGGTGTAGGCCGCGGATATTTTGGTAATGGCCTACACCGCCATTACCTCTATTACACGCCGCGTCACGTGACGCTTCGCGACGTTTCTCTGCCGCCCCCCCTGCCCTTCGCGGAGCTTGCCTTGGCCTGCGCGTGGTGCATCCGCCCCTCCGTAGGTAGGCGTGGCCTACGCGTGACGCACCCGCCAGTTTGACACCCCCTTGTAAGGGAAAGGGTGGTGGTTGTTTTTCTTCCTCTCTGGCCCCCGAAGGCGCAAAGCATGCTGGGGAGTGGAATCCCCGCCCGCCTTGGCTGGTCGCCGTGGCAACGCGCGGCCTGGCGGAGTCGCGCCGCCTGCCTGGTCGTGAGGAGGGCGCTGTGGCGTCGCGGCTTCCCTTCGGCTCTTCCCGCGAGAGGAGCGGGCCGACTCCGCGGCCCAGGAGGCAGGGAGTCCCGCGTACGCTCCCCCGACTCCCCACCGCGGCCTCTACCATGAAGGAGGACAAGGAGAACGCCAGGCCGAAGGAGAAGCGCGGAGGGCCCCTCGCTCCCACCGGCCTCGGAGCAGCCATGGCCGGGGCGGACGCCAAGGCGGGCGGGGAGCCTGACCGCCTCGAGAGGCCCAAAGACAAGAAAGAGACGCTCAGTAAGGTGCGCCCGCGGGCCGGGAGGGGAGGGGGGAGGAGAGATTCAGGGGCCCCACCCCCACCCGGACCCCCGCAGGAGGAGCCAGGACTACAACTCCCATCACCCCCAGCTCGCTGATGTCAATGGATGGAGGGGGAGATTTTCGATAAGACGTTATTCCCTTGGCCAGAGTAGCATCTCTAAGGCTGCTGTGCTTGTTAGGGTTGCTGTCCTGAATATTAATAATTATAATAAGTGATAATGCTGATAATAATGCTGATAATTAATAATAATCCTGTCCTGTATAATGATAATGTTAATAATAAGAGATAATATATAATAATTAGTAGTAATAATAGTAATAAGTGATAATAATATTGATAATAATGATAATAGTAATACCGTGTTTCCCCAAAAATAAGGCCCTGTCTTATATTTTTTTTGAACCCTGAAATAAGCGCTTGGCCTTATTGCCATGCACTCACAAGCCCGATTGGGCTTATTATCGGGATGCCTTATTTTGGGGGAAACAGGGTAGATAGATAGATATAAATGATAGATAGATAGATGATAGAAAAATGGATAGATGGATGGATAGATGGATATCTAATCCATATGGATTAGATAGATAGATATAAACAGACATGATAGATAAATAAGGGAATGGATAGATATAGATGATAGATAGATAGATAGATGATAGATAGATAGATAGATAGATAGATAGATAGATAGATAGATAGATAGATAGATAGATAGATACTGTGTTTCCCCGAAAAAAAGACCCTGTGATATATATTTTTCAACCCTGAAATAAGCGCTTGGCCTTATTGCCATGCACTCAAAAGCCGGATTGGGTTTATTATCAAGGGGGGATGTCTTATTTTGGGGGAAACAGGGTAATAATAATAATACCCTTTCCCCCCCCCAAAATAAGACATCCCCTGATAATAAGCCCAATCGGGCTTTTTAGAATAGAATAGAATTCTTTATTGGCCAAGTGTGATTGGACACACAAGGAATTTGTCTTGGTGCATACGCTCTCGGTGTACATAAAAGAAAAGATACGTTCATCAAGAATCATAAGGTACAACTTTATGCAACCTTATTGCATGGCAATAAGGCCAAGCGCTTATTTCAGGGTTCAAAAAATATATATAAAACAAGGTCTTATTTTCAGAGAAACACGGGTAAGTAATAATATTGATGATAATAAATAGTAATAAGTGATAATATTGATAATGATAAATGATAAGAGAATAGTAATGATAATAGTAATAGTAATAATAAATGATAATAATGTAATTGATAATAAATAATAGTAATGATAGTAATAGTACTAAATAATATTGATAATGATAAATGATAACAACAATGGTAGCTGTTATTCTATTATGGTTGGGTCATGGAGCCTAAATCCTCTTGCTCTCCCCCATCCTGAAATGATATAACCCTTTATGGGATTATATCACCCATTTTTAGTGAGCTGAGGATGTCAACGTTCAGGGCTCCTTGGTGCTCTCTGAGCTTGGTGGTCGTCTTGCAGATGTTTCATGACCCGACTAGGTAACATCATCAGTGCTGGAAGGAAGGGTTATACATAAAATATACATAGATTAAGCTATTAGATCCAGGAAGGATTCCACAGTCTCATGCTAAATAAAATGAAGAACACAACACCTCTGTGGATGAATATTTTTATTCAGTGGCCTGTTGGCATCTGAAGTTAATTTTTATTATAAATAATACGGGAGAGGAAATAATGTTTTAATTAAGCTACTTGATAGTTCGCTTTAATGTTTTTATTTTATTTTTTTATAAAAAAATTGCATTTTTTAAAAAATGCTTTCTGATGTTTCACCTGTTGTAAAGGATGAAACATTTTTCTTTAAGGTAGTGATTCGACGCCTTCCTCCGAGCTTGACCAAGGAACAGCTTGAAGAACATCTCCAGCCATTGCCAGAGCACGATTATTTTGAATTCTTTTCAAATGACTCTAGGTAAAAAAAAGGGGGGGGGATTTTTTTGACTGTGTTGCACGTAACGATGGCATGTCACGTCTGTCTTTCAGTTTTTACACCCTTCTGTGTTGTGTATATTTATAATCACCACTCAGCAACGTTTTCTTAAACATTGCCATTTTTTGTCCTTCTGCAGTTTGTATCCTCACATGTTTTCCAGAGCATACATCAACTTTAAAAACCAAGAAGACATAGTTCTGTTCAGGGATCGCTTTGATGGTTATGTTTTTATTGATCACAAAGGCAAGTAAGCCTACAATTATCCTATCTCTGTTGTTCATTATATATTGGCAAACTTTTGTACAATAAGTATACTGTAATTCTGGAACCACCTTTTTGCTTCCATGCCATAACCGAGTTAAGGCTTTTAACATGTAGTTCAGAATGTGCATAGTTACACATCCACAACCTTACTAATCTGAGGTGGTAGAGGTTTATTAGCAGGGAAGAGCCCTTAGGATCATTAATACCTCAGTGCTCAGCACAGTTTTTCTGAAACTATTGTGTCAGATTTGGTTTCAAATAAGTAATTTTAGAATTGTAGCGTAAACTAAAATTAGATGCTTGGTTGTATAAAAAGTCAATTCTAATTCGGATTAATTGTACTCTT